CTTTTCTGGTATTTGTTTTATCTGTTCATATGTAGTAGTCTGTAAAAATAAGATATATGTCCTGGAATGTAGTACTAATCAATTTCCAAATACTTTGAAAAGAACAGTATGATGGGGAATACCCAGCATGGCTTCCTAAAGACCAAGCTTTTTTAAGCAAATCTAATCTCCCTTCTGTGAAAACAACAGCCTGAGAAACAGAGGTGAAGCAGTAGATATAATTTATTTTGACTTTATCAAGGTTTTTGAGACCTGTCTAAACAATTGGATCATCAATAAACTGTGAAAATCCAAACAGGTCACACACTTAGATAGTGTTCCCAGGAGGTAGGAGGCAGAAAAGGGACATTCAAAGAGTGGTCACCCATGGATTAAAGTTAATTATGGACAATTATACAGCAAAGTCTCCTAGATCTCAAGTGCAGGGAAGACATTTCTATTAGTGCCTGAAAATAGAGCAGATTTTGATCAGGAGACACCAATGTAAAAATTTTGAGGATTTCTTCAGAATCTGAAGTGACAACACAGAGTGGAAGATCCAGTAAGAAATAAACAGGTTGGCTGGTCATGGTGGTGCACACTTGTAATCCCAGCAGCTTGGGAGGCTGAGGCAGAAGGATTGTGAGTTCAAAGTCAACCTCAGCAACAGCAAGGTGCTAAGCAACTCAGGGAGACCCTGTATCTAAATAAAATGCAAAATAGGGCTGGGGATATGGCTTAGTGATCGAGTGCCCCTGAGTTCAATGCCTGGTACCCCCCCAAAAAAGAAAGAAATAGTGTGGACTATAAGAGCTCTAGATTCAAAAGAGTACCCATTAAGTGAAAAGAATAAAAAGAGAAGATGGGGATCAACCAATGAGGTTCAAGAATCACAAAAAAATGATAATTACAACTTAAATCCAATATAATTATACCAAACTCATTCATTATAACTAAGGTATGAAGAGAAAGAGACTTGTTTAAAATTGCAGAACAAAACTGTAATAGAGCTAGGCATCTAGCTTAAATGTTCAAAATCTCAGACACATTCAAGAAGTATAAGACACAGAAAGCAAATTAAATTCAATACAGCTTAGATCCTCCCTTAGAATTGGCATTTAACACTTTGGATTAATAGCCTATCTGAGAGCAAGAGGAAGGTGGAGGCTTTGAAAGAAATACTAGAATGATTACAGGTTGATAAATAAGATCTGTAAGGAAAGAAGACATTATTTTAAATTATTCATTGTGAAGAATAGGTATGCTAAGGCTTAACTCTGAGGTACTTTTATAGAAACTTACCTTAATAACACTGACAAAACAATAAATCCTTAATCTTCTACATGAAGTATTAAGAGTAGACATAATAATTCCTGTTGGAATACGTTTTTAAAAGGGTCTTGAAAAATACAATAAGCTCTCCTGGTTTACATTTCTTATAAAGGGGCCAGAGGCACAGAAGTAGAAAAGAACAGCAAAAGTTTACAATTCTAAGAGGAAAACCTAAAAGCAGTTTTTGGTGTCAAGATTTAATAAAAACAAGCGTGACTCATTTGATTCTCTAGAAACATCTTGCTCCATATCTAATGAGGTGTTTGGATAACAAAGAAAAAAGATAATCTTGGAATTTTCTAATTCAAACTTGCAAGTTAATCAACTTCAGTTATTTCCACTGTAAACTATATTTTCTAAAAGACAAAATACTCTACATTTCTAAAAGACAAAAAACACCTGCTCCACAGAAGCTAAATCAACACAAAAGTCAGAATAAGCAGAGACTCAGAGGATAAAGATTTTCATGGTTATCGTCTTAGACTCTCCAGAGGACTTATGGTGCACAGTTCTTCCTGAAATAAGAAACACAGTTAAAAATAACCCATGTATTTCTACATGTAAATGGGTAACCCTCAAAGTTTTTGTCATAGTTTTTAAAAAGGACCTTCTGGTCTATAATTATATTTCCAATTTGACAGCTACAATTATAATCATTCAGGCATCTATTTCCCACAAACTCTCCACAGCCATAACCTTTAGTGATTAATTATAAAGCTACAGGAGCAATAGTACACAGACTAATTTCCTAAAACAATAAAAGACAGAATTTCTCATTTGGAGCTAAATGAAACACGAACAGGTTGTTATTCATGCTGAAATCTTGATGCAGAGTCATGGTGCAGCCATTACAGAAGCTATTAAACAAAACCTTGAATCAAAGAAACTATAGGTCTGTCTTCAAAAGAGAAAATGCTATTCTTGCCTAGAAATCTTCTAACATCTATGTTTGCTTTACCTTTTAAAGCTTAATGTCATTAATTCCATTTTCCTCTCTCTTATCTCTGCTCTTACAGAATCCATCAAAAATTTCAATTTCAATGAAATATGAGGGTATATAAAAACTTCCAAAGGGAGACTTCTTTTCTTCCATTTCAATTTAACACAAGCTTCCTACATTTTCAGGTCAGTGTCCTGTTTATTTTCTTAGATCATAAGAGTTTGGGAACTATGACTACTTTGGTTGTTTTTGTAAAGAACAAAATGAATAATGGTTGATAGTATAACTTCTAGGAATGTGTTTCCTTTTTGCACATTTTCCTGTGGAGTTGAATGTGTAGAACATGATATTTAATACATATTTTGATAAAAACCTATCACAAACAAATAAATGCTAGGACTTCCATAAATAAATGGCAAGAGTCAATGGAAATGGATATTGGAATAAGAAGTTACAAGGAATATGCAGAGAAAATATAATGTGATTCTTTTTAAAATGACAAGATAGGTAAACATATTAACACCAACAGAAATATTTTAGTTGAATATTTTGTATCTTTTTATAGCTGCTATAATTTGCCTTCTGGAGATTTAGCAACTAAACACTGTGATGATATTGAATAGCAATGCTGTCACAATATGGCATTTAAAACAACATGCACCATCCGAAATTTAAAAGAAGAAAAATCTTTTAAAATTTTTTTCTGGTCACATAGAGCATAATGAAAATGGCTTATAAAAGCCAAAATTTTCTCAGGTAAAATGTCCATATGGCCACAAATAAATGAAGTGAACAGAGACCATTCATTTCTGTCTTTAGTTGTGCCTTATAGAAACAAAAGCTTCCCATGAGGGAAACAAAGGGAAATATTCACTCAGCACAATTTCAGAGCTGGGATTTAAGTCATCAAGCTTACATTTAAAATGAAAGCAAAATTTTAAAACATTTAATTGCTTGGAATATTTGTAGGTCTAACAGAAATTTTATAACTTGATTATTGGAGACAGTTTTAGAAATCTAGTGAAACATTTGTTTACTATACCTCCCTTAATGAAAAAAAGAATATCAAAAAAGAAAAAAAAAACTATCAGAGATATCGTCAAAACCATAATATCCAGAATACTCTTTAGACTAAATCATGAATAGAAAATTGGTCATACCAAATTAAGGACAAGTCCTTTTACCAGCCGCATCTCCATGTCTAGAATTATTGATTGAGATGTAATACCAAAGAAAGAAACTATGTACCTTAGATTATACTAGAAAATCAATTCAAACATTAAAGAAATAATGTTAAACAAAAAGACCAAGAGAATATGTCTCAGTGCTAGCTCTTTCCTTACCTAGCTACTTGATGACCCAATTTCTTATCCTACAAGTATCATCTGTGGGATAAGGCTTAATTATTTCAAGTCACTAAGACATCCCAAATTCAAATTTAGAAATCTTTGTCAATAACACTGTAAACAACGGGAGCTCTAGAGTTGACCTAAGAATGTTTATTAAAACTTACTAATAATCAAACACAACAATTTCCTCAAACAATATCTTAGACACAATATGAGAGATTCTGAAAACCACAATTTGGAAATGGTTACCTAGGGGAATAGTCCTATCTATTTAAAACATCATTTAAAGCCATCCATTTTCTGAGTTTCACTTTAACATCATCTCCTACTCAAATACCTCACCCTATACATGAATATTTTTCTGATTTATTTAGAAATTTCTTCTCTCTTTATATTCTCATAGTACTTTATTTATCTTGTTGCTTTTGTCACATTTTATCTCAGAGTATATTTTATACATTAATTCATTTTTATTTTCATGTTTTATTAGTTCTTTATAGTTGTATATAACCTTTAGGTTCATTTGACATAAACATATATGCATGAAATATAATTTGCTCCACTGAAGTGCCCTATACTTCCTCTTCCCTCCCCTCCTCCTTCCCCCTGTTCTCCTTTCAGTATTGTATTTGATTTCCTTCAATTTAATTACAGTTTTTAACTGGTATTTTAGAGCTACACATAAAGGTGAAATTCACTGTGGTATATTCATATTTGTACATTTGTAGGGGTGGAGTACCTGGGATTGAACCCAGGGGTGCTTAACCACTGAACCTCATTCCCACCCCTTTTTATTTAGATGCAGGGTCCGGCTAAGTTGATTAGGGAACTGCTAAGTTGCTGAGACTGGCCTTGAACTTGTGATCCTCTTGCCTCAGCCTATTGAGTTGCTGGAATTACAGGCATGTGCCACCACACCTGGATATATGTATACTTTTGTCTCTTTCCTTAGATTGTACACATTTGAAATCCAGTGAGTCTTGTCTTCTGTCCTCAGAGTACCAACATATTGCCTTATTGCTGTTTAACTATTGTACATTGTGTATACTTAATAAATATGAATTATTTAGATAAGAATGGAATAAGAAACATAGGGTGAAGCTGCAATAATAGGGCAGGCTTTAGCACACAGAAAGTACATTGATTGACTAGCACTGTACAAATCAGAATTCAATTCCACTGCAACAAATCAATGGAGATAATGGAATGTTTCTGAAATAAGATTGTGAACTCTAATCATTTTCTAGATTCAGTGTACAAGTTATCAATAGGGTTAAGTATCTTCTGAAGCAATTGTTTGTAATCAACGTATATATATTTCTTCTTCCTTCCTAATTCCACTTCTCCCCCGCCCCTCAAAAAAGGATAGTCACCTTTTTAGGATCCCTGAATATACTTACCTGTGTTAGAATTAAGATCATCAGGCTCTGATTCAGTCCCATTTTGGCTTCCATTTCCCTGAAGTGTGTTCATAGCCATGAGTTTCATCTTCTGCAGTTTCATTGCTTCAGCCATTGCTGCAGCAGTTATACCTAAAACCAGAATCATCCCATTTAAAATTGGGACCATTTCTTAATGTAACTGAAAGCTGAATACATTTATTTAGTAGGACTATGCTGTACAATACAAGCCAAAAGTAAAATCAATGTTGAAATTATGAATATTTTAATAAGGTAATTTTCAAAATATAATTCATTTATATTACAATGGACAGCATTAAAATTTACAAAAGAGGATAAGTATGGGTCTGATCTCCAATTCAAGACACAGAAAAACAGAGATAAGTAAAATGCCATTGTTTGAAATATTCTAAGGCTTTTGATAATGCTTTCTAGTATCTGCCTAGAACTCTGGACTTTTGTTTTAAACAGAATTCAGTATGCATTAATTTTCATTAAAGCATTAATTTTCACTTAATGAAAACAACAAAATTAATTAGTTTAAAACAATATTATCAGAGAAAGTACCCTGAAATGCTGCAAGGAACCCTTTCTACAATACATTCTTCTTGACACTTCTGCTAAAGGATAGAATGTCTAACCTAGGAGACTCAGCCTAGAGCAGGGAAGAAGGAAGCATTCATGTAGGTCTTTCACCCTCTTACATACCTCATACTTATAAAATGAGGAACCAAATAAGTGAAAAAAATGGCTTGTCATCATTATGATCAGTCCCTGTGGTATAATTATATTATTTTTTATTATATGGAAGTTATTTTAAAAATCCACTTATTATTATGAAGGAAGAATGGAAATAGAGAAAAGGTATGATATATGTTTGAAATTCTTTCTCCTAGAAAGTCTATATCAGGCAGTACCACAAAAATATATAAGGGGACAAATAGTAAAAAGAGTAGATGAACCCATACTCCAACTATGCCCTCCAAAGTGTCTGGTGAATTCAACTTGTTTTTTTTTTTTTTTTTTTTTTTTTTTAGATATACTCCAAATTCTCAACCATCTATTAGTAAATTATTATACTAGGACAAAAGGAGAAAAAAATGGCAGATTTTTAAAATAGTATTTCAGTGTTCTGCAAGATCTATTCTACCATGTAAAATGCATGTCCAAGAAATATGGAGAATATCAGTTGTTGCAAAACAAAATGTAATTGTCACTAGAAGATCCTGATTCTAAGAGGCAGAGTAAATCCCTACGAAAAGCATAAATAAAAGCAGATTCAGCCTAGTACACCTATCTCTGAATGTTCTGGAGAATAATACAGTTTTAATTTGTCGCTCCATACTCTACCCTGCAAAAAATTTTTTCAATGAATCAAAATATTCACCACATGGTTTGTCTCTAAATTATGGCAAAAAATGATTTGAAAGAAAATTGCTTTAGTTTATAAACTGATGACATACATGTGTACATTCTCTACAATCCCAGAGGTTTTATTGCCATATTTAATTTACCTTTACTGAATTCCTCCAAATGACCTCTCCTGGCCTCAAGAGTAATTCTGGGCAGAAAATAATGATGTCAATGATTTAATCAAAGGGAACCTTCCCAGGAAAAACAGGGCTGAGTAAATCTTAATGAAAAATGTATCAGAAAAATTTTTAGAATTTGTATAAACTCCTCAGAATTGAATTCTGACAATAATTAATTAATATTTATTTCACTATTTCTATTGTAAATATGAATTTCTGTAAACAATAAGTGGCTTCTACTTGATAAAAAATAACAGTTGACAAAATTTAAACTTCTTGTAGACAAGGAGTTCCAAACAAAATAAGTGTCTTAATACACTCAAATTAAGAAAATTAATGAACAAGAGTCCCCACATACTTTTAATTTACAGAAAAGATAGCAAATATTAATATGTATATATTTTTGTAAGCAAATTCTATTTTATAATATTGAAAAAAAGTCAGTGAGCAATATTAATAAGGTAATATTAAGGTATAAAGAATCATATTATTACACAAAAAATTTAGGAGCTATCTAGTTCAATTTTTTTGTATTGCAGATAAGGAAACTAAATCTTCCAGTGATCTCATGGGTCATTTATTTAGGGGAAGAGATGGAGTAAAAGTCCATTTCTTAAACAAGCTTGTTAAAGTGCTAAAGAAGCTCTAAAATTATTTAATGAAAACCTCTGAATGACAAAATTCACGTGACACATATAGTTGTATATTGTTAGTTATCTTTCTGTATCTCCTTACTTGATTCAAAGTATAGAGACCTAGTTTATAAATTCTATATTTTATATTGCCTCATGTCTATAGTGCAGTGAGTTTTATGAAATCCTTAAATTCTGTTTGTTAAGTCTTCAATGCAGTGCCTGAATATCTATGTTTTTAGATAAATACACAATCAAGCACAGTGAAGCAATAGAAAATATGTAATGGGTTTCTTTGATGTTCTCACAGAAATTTGATCTTTTATTCAACTGATGAGTTATGTTATGGGCCAGGTTATATGGGCAATGACCAAACAGACTCCATTTTACCATGAGACTCTATATTAAGTAAGAAATGCTTCTCCCATGGGAAAGCCCTGCCTCTGTACCCATTAATAGTTACCTATCATAACATACTTGGCAACACAAAATAGTAATTCTTATACAATGTAAAATTGTTCTCTTTGGTTTCCATTTTTCTTGGGCGATGTGCCTTGTCAGAGGTTGATTATTTAAATATTAGTAACCATTCTCTAACATATACTGAACTAAGGTCATTTTGAGCCACTTCCCTTCTGCTTGCTTGCTTCTATGCCAACCTAGAAAGTCTCCTGGGAAATACCAATGTACCCATTGCATTGTCTCGCTAACTGCCCAATTCAGCTTCTGTACCTGCTTGCTTGCAGCTATGTCAACACAGATGTGGTTTTTGCCTTTAAATATCCTAAAATGCTCAGGCTCGGGGCAGTTCCTTGCAGAGATAGTTATGGATCCTGTGGGGAGAAGTCAATAGCCAGCTGGCTAAATAAACACTCTTTGGTTTGGACAAAACTGAGACTTTATGTGTTTTCTGAGAGACCTGCCCCACAACAAGTTATATTCTTATTTTCAGGGTCTCTCTTGGTGTACCACTGAAGGATTTAAAAGAAAAAAATCAGCATCTCTCCACAAGTTCTCAAAATGCATCCTTGAGAGTATATAAAGACAATAATTGTTAAAGCTAAATTTGTGAGTTATTTAGTTAAATTTTACTTGGGATCCAAGATATCAGCTTGGATTGAAAACTAGAAAATCGTAAGTGTAATGAGAATGAAAAGATGCTTTTAAAAGTGAAGTTACATAATTATAGGTAAATATCTAGACATACATCTTTGATTCTGAAAATAATGCTTATTTTATATTATGTTCAAAGCATATATATTTAAATTAATAAAATAGATTTGAAAAGACAGAGATTCAGTGTTATTGAAGAAACACATTTTTCACTTTCAAATATTTGAACATTTACTTCTGTAACCTTAGTACCTTCCATTCTTGTTCATCAAATTTTTTATTGGATTAAATTCTAGCTACTGTAATTATTTAGCATGTGAAAGTGCACAGCTTTTAAGGTACTCCATATTTTTCCTTTTGTAATTAACATTTATTAAATTATTGGATTTACTGTTTCTTATTAAAACACTTTATTGAGGCATGACTGACACTAAAAAAAGCTATAAATATACAATGTATGCAATTTGATGTTAGGTGTTCCCCAAAAGCTCATGTGTAAATCAAGGCTAAAAAGTGTTTAGAGGTGAAATAACTGGGTTATGAGAGTTTTGACCTAATCAGTGCATTATTACCCTGATAGGGTTTAACTGGGTGGTGACTATAGGCAGGTAGTGTGTGGCTAGAGGAGGTGGATCCTTGGGTGGTGCCTTTGGGGTTTATATTTGTTGTGATGAGGAGAGCTCTCTGTTTCTCTCTTCTTCTGGGTGGCCATGCCCTAAGCTGTTTGTCTCTGTCACACTATTCCACCATGATGTTCTGCCTCATCTTAGGCCCTAGGTAATGGAGTAAGCCACCTATGGACTGAGAGTTCTGAAACTGTGAGCCACAAAATAAACTTCTCCTCTTCTAATTGTTCTTACTAGGTCTTTTTAGTCACAGTGGCGAAAAAGCTGACTAAAACAGATGACTTTGGAGGTAAGTACAAACCCAATGAAACTATCAGTACAATCTATGCCATAAACCTATCATTTATCTCAATAATATTCCTCTCATGCACTGTATTATTTTTCATGAATGTTAAGAACACTTAATATAAGATCTATTTTTAGAAAAATTTAAAGTATGCAAAACTTTGTATTTTGACTAATAGGTTCCTGTTTCCTCTCCCCCCTGGGTCATGACAATGTCTATTTTGTTCACCAGTTCTATGAGTCTCAATATTTTAGAATCATCAGGTAAGTGATATACTGCAATATTTGTTCCTTTGTATCTTCACTTTAGTATAACATCTTCCAGGTTTATCCATGTTTTAATAAATGGTAACATTTCCTTCTTTTTTAAGGATGAATAACTTTCCATTGTATGATACACACACACACACACACACACACACACACACGCACCACTTTTGTGTACATTTAGGTTGCCTCTGTCTTGGCTATTATGAATAATACTATAGATGAAATAGAAATTAAGATATATATTTAATATCTTAATGTTGACTCCTTTAGATATATACTCAGAATTGGGATTGTTGGATCATATGGTAGATCTATTTTTACTATCTGAGGAACCTACATACTCTTCCCCTAGTGGATGCACCAATTTAAATTTTCAGCAATAGTGTGCAAGAGTTCACATTTCTCCACATCCTTGTCTACTCTTATTTTTAAAATAAATAATAGATATCCTAACAGATATGAGGTGATAGTTCATTGTGATTTTGACTTGTATTTCCCTGAGGTTATTGATATTGAACATGTTTTCATAATACGTGTATGTCTTCTTATGTATTATCCCTTTATCTGATTCATAGTCTAAAAATATTTTCTCCTATTCTATAGGGTGCATTTTCACTATGTTGATTCTTTTCTCTTCAGAAGCCATTTAGTTGATGTAGTCATGCTTGTGTGTT